GACAAAATACTGCTATCTCTAAGCTTCATTTGATATTGTATTGATGAGTGAGTCTTGAAGCTTTTGTAATTTACTATTTATTGGTTAGCTTTCGGCAATAATGCCATCATCAGACCTTAAAATTACAACAATTGCACATGATCAACTAGTTACATTACAAAAACACTATACATCAATACATACCAGCGAGAGAAGGAGAGTAGTGGGACCTTTCGGGGTCTGGCGGGAATGGGAAATGAAGCACCAACCCCGAGGCAAAGGACTTAGGTGATTACGAAAGAAGCCTCAGAAGGTCACGTAGCTTGATTTCTGGCTTTATACGATGTATTTCCCGCGCCTCCATGATTTTCCTTTCCAGCGGCCGCACCAAATGTCTGTGAAGAACGCTCACGTCAAAGGACGGGGCGTCCTCTCTCTCATGCTTCAATGTGCGGTGTCTGGAAAAACTGCTGCGAGGATAGGCAGCGGGGTTGGCCAAGGCTCTTCTATGTTCGTCTAGTCGAGCCTTCACCATATTTTATCATACTGTAAAAGTGTTTATTGTCGCACTCAAAATCGTTCATCATTCGTGGAATACAAACGGCAAGGCCTGCGATGTACAGTTCGGTGTCAAGATGTTGCACTATTTGAGCATAAGTAAACAGCTGTGGAGTCCGTGATAACGGATAGTGCAGGTTCAGCCAATCACGCAAGTCGACTTTGACCATCCATTCCGGTCACGTCGTCTCCGTTGTTGGCCGAGCATTGTCACCATCGGATCGGTCCCACCTCATTTTAGGCGATCGCTTGTGATCCAACGGGATCCAATTCATAAGCCGGGAAGTCCATCTGTTGTCTTTCAAACGCGCCACATGACCGGCCCAATCTCGTTTACGTTTATACATTTCCTGGACAACATCAACGAGGTCACTTCGTCCTATGGAGCATTCACAGTTGGCAATCGTACGCGCGATTAGGCGATTAGGCGAGTAGGTGATCAAGCATTAGGTGGTGAAGACTACATACGTATTGATTGATTTGCTCCGCCCTTATGGCGTTGTAGGCGAGTAGGCGAGAAGGCGAGCAGTCTTTATAAAATAGAAGGATTCGTTGCAGTTCACATCGAAATCATTTCGCCTCCACTGTTTCAACAGAAACACGCATCCTTACCACTCACTCGCTTTGCATTTACTTCTAGTAGTCATTTAAATCACTTGTCCATGGGCATACAAAAAACAAGAAGAATCTAACAAG